CAAAATGCTAACAGGTTAACAACATCCCCAGAAAATATACTCTAAACAAATCAGAAAAAACCTGAAACCAGGGGAAAAGAAAGGGAAAGAAAGAAAAAATATAGAGAAAAGAAAAAAAAGATAAAAACAAACAAAAACAGAACAAAACAAAAAAAACAGAATATGATCAAATATGATCAGGCTGGTGCATAGATCAGTGCCACAGACTAGATTTGGGGTGTATTTTGGTGTCTTAGAAGAAAGTGCCTCCTAAAATTTTAATGAAAGAAAGACTTAAATATATACAAAATAAGGGTTGATATGATGAAGGGATGGAATATGACTGTAAAGATGAAAATTATAAAAATTTTTTAAAAAGGAATTGATAAGGTGTTTCAAAAAAGAAAGAAGAGGATTAAAAAAAAAGAAAAAAAAGGGGGAGAGAATCGGATCAGGCAGGAGACTAGAACAAACCATACACTGGAGATTTAGGGTATATTTTGATATGTTAGAGGAAACTGTATCTCAAAATTTTAAAGAGAGAACAACATATATATATATATATATGCCAAAAATAAGGGTAACTACTATGAAGCGATAGAATATGACTCTAAAAATGAAAAATAAAAAATTTTTTTAAAAAGGGATAAGATGTTGTTTGAAAAAGGGAAAAAGAAAAATTAAAAAAAAATTAAAAAAAATTAACTTTTGAAAGACTAATGAATCATGGTAAAAAAGCCATGAATTCTATGTGCAGTATTCCCCTAGCGCTGGACTTCTGTTCTCATTGATCGGTAAACTTGGTTTTGGCGGGCTGTTCGTGCTGATCTTCTGGGGAGGGGGGGCCTGTGTCCGTGGTTCCCAAATGTCTTTGCGGAGGCGGAATTGCCCCGCCCTTGTGAGCCCGGGCTAAGTAATCTGCTCGGGTTTGCTCTTGGGAGCTTTTGTTCCCTGCAAGCTCTCGGTACAGCTTTGGAGGACCAGGATGAAAATGGTGGCCTCCCAATCTCCGCCCTGGAGGAGCCGAGAACTCGGGGCCCCTCTCCTCATTGCGCCCCCAGAGAAAAGCAGTCACTCCCGTGTCCCCGGTCTCCGGCCGCACTCCGTGCTCACCCGGCCTGTGACCGAGCATTTCTATCTCTGGCACCCGACCCCGTGTGGAGTCTCCAAACCCAGCAGATCCCTGTGGTGCGCTCCCGCGCCGCTCCTCCCGGGGGAGGAAGGGGAGTCTCCCTGGATCTGCCGCTTGTTGGGTCCCTGCTGGAGGAGCAGTGGCCCGACTGGGCCGTGGATCACAGTTTATGGCAACCCCGAGCTGAGAGCCCGCGCCTCGGCTCCGTCTCTGCAGCCGGCTTCCCCGCTCCGATACCCGGGAGCTCTGCCGCACTCAGGCACCCCCGGTCTTTCTGTGACCCCGAGGGTCCTGAGACCACACTGTCGCACGAGGGTTCCACCCCCCTGCTTAGCCACTGGAGCGACGTCCCTCAGCGGAGCCAACTTCTAAAAGTTCTGATTTTGTGCTCCGCGGCTCTATCACTTGCCAGAAGCAGCCGAGGGAGGCCCTCTCCCCCGCCGTCTATCCTCCCGAATATCGCCTCGGATTCACTTCTCCGCACATCCTACCTTCCAGTAAGTGGTCGCTTTCCTGTTCAGAGAGTTGTTGCTATTCTTTTCTTCGGTCTCCTATTGAGTTCGTAGGTGTTCAGAATGGTTTGATCCCTATTCAGCTGAATTCCTGAGACCAGACGAAATCCAGGTCTCCTACTCCTCCACCATCTTGCTCCCTTCCTCTCCTTCTGTGCAGATTTGATCACACATGTCCTCAGAATCAGTCAGCCTTAGACTGTATGAAGTGAGAAAGAGAGAGGACTTCTTTTCTTTTAAATGTCTGCTGCTTCCATTACTTGTACTGGGACTGGACATGAACAAGGAAGCATGCACCATTTAGTAGTCCTGATGATGCCAGATCTTTGTGTTAACAGCTTGTACATTAGGAGCAAGCTTTGTGATTCGTTATGGTTATAGAATTTTCCAGGACATATTTGGCATAAGCAATAGCTAGGTGCCATTTCAGCCATTTCCCACACAGGTGCTCATAAATCATGTTAGATGAATTTGGAAATCTCAAATTTAAGAATTTAATTTGTTATTACAGATCTTTTCTAGTTGGTCACAATGGCCACCATTGCTTTTTACTTGACTTTTTAGGTTTTTTTTGAATACTAACCAAAAGAAAGGCAATAAGAAGGCTCTTCTTTCCTTGATGGCTGTACCTTTGTTGCAGATGGATAATGCACAGGACCTGCTTTCCTTTGGCGGCCTTCAAGTGGTGATCAATGGGCTGAACAGCACAGAGCCCCTGGTGAAGGAGTATGCTGCGTTTGTGCTGGGGGCTGCCTTTTCCAGGTGAGCAGCGTGGATGGACATCCCATTGGCCAGGATTATTAGTGCCTTTCAGGTGAAGTCTAGCTTTAGTTTTGTCCTGATTGGCCTGGAAGAAGGTTACACTTGAACTCTTGCACATCCCTATACACATTTCATTGTAATCCTAATGAAACTAGGGTAAGAATTTGATTCTGCCCTTACTCCAAGTAGATAAGAATTTTCACCGTGTTGTTATCATGTGTGACTCTCTGTTCCCTCTCATCTTACAGACATATAATAATGTATTTTAGGTCACATTCTCTGTTGCATTCAAAGCTAATAAAAAGTTAGACCACCCATGGCTGGTTGAGTGGAAGGGAATGAACTCTAAGAGTTGATCCTTTTGCAATGAAGATACATCTGGTGATGAATAAATGTTGAACCTGACTGAGGAGGGCCTTTTGGGGGGAATATGCCTTCTCCTTATTGTCTGGTACCAGTCAACATGCATTCAGGTTATTGTACTCTTTGGGTTGGGAGTTGTTTAAATTTCAGTTAGTCTGGCTTATGCTAGAAGAATGATAAGGCAAGAGGAATGGAGACACAGCATCTCTTAGGAGTGGATGCAGAATGATATGTGGGCACCACATCATAATACTTAAAAAGTCAAGATGTCTTCAAGCTGCAATTGGTCCATTGGAGCCACAGTTCCTTCCATTTTTTTTTTTTTAAAGATTTTTATTTATTTATTCATGAGAGACAGAGAGAGAGAGAGAGAGAGAGAGAGAGGCAGAGGGAGAAGCAGGCTCCCAAGGAGCAGGGAGCCTGATGCGGGACTCGATCCCAGGACCCTGGGATCATGACCTGAGCCGAAGGCAGACGCTTAACCATCTGAGCCACCCAGGCGCCCCCCATTTTTGAAAATCTGTTCTTAGGACTATTTGTGCTTCTAAAATAGGAACCAGTATTCTGATTCTTGGTGCAAAGGCATGGGTAGTAGCTATTAGGGGTTGCTCTGCTAGGGTGCAGGGATTAAGATGTTGCAGGAGAAAGGCTATTGTAAACATTTCTGCCATTGTAGGCTTTGTTTTGTAAAGATTTCCTTTGCCTTTCATCCTTGCTTATTGTTATTAATCAGAATCTCAGACTGATGTCTCCTCACTGTGAAAGGCTGCTGGGTCTTTTCTTAGTAAATTGAGGGGCAGAGCTGGTAAGGCTGGAAGAATTGTTTCCTGAGGGAAGCTGAGCACCCTGCAGGACCTGCTTAGACCTTCAAGCCCTGGTTCTCCTGTGGTTGTATTTTTGACAGTGTAGGCTTTGGCTTCCAGGGCACTCTGCCTCCCTTGGTCTCACCTACCAGACCCAGACAGTCTCTCAGGAAGCCCAAGGAGATGTTTGTGTGTGCCTCTACTGGAAGGATGGAGAATCTGTGAGTTTGTCATAGGTCGCTGTGATTTCAGCCCTAGAGAGAAGTCCAGGGTCTTATCCTTACAGCTTCAGAGGCTTGAGAACTTATGGAAGCTCACTTTTTGTTTCTCAAGCCATGAAATAACTAAATCAAACGTTATTAACCTCTCTCCCCAGACTCTTTTTGGAATTCTTTCCTATAATCCCAAGTACCTTCTTGACACTTTCAATATGAGCAAATTATCCTACATGTCCCTTGCCATTGCTTCTGGAAAGACATTTCTTGGGGGAAACTGTGTAACATCTTGTGTCACATCTTATTTAAAGGAGACTAACTTGAGAAGCATGCATTAGGCCTGCTTAGCAGGCCATAACTCAGCCAGGGGTGTGCCACTATGTGGTGTTATTAAGACTTATCCGTGGTTGTTTTAGCATAAGACCATGTTAACATTTATGTAGCATCACTAAAATTTAAATAGAGATAAATATAAAATATCGCAACTTAGTGTTTTGGTGGCAAGCAAACTGCTATATTCAAAATGTTCTAGCTGGGCTTTTGATGGCCCACTGGAGGGCAGTTACAGTGATGGCATGGTATGGCGCCAGAGCTTTTGGAAGCCAAAAGCAGGCTCCCTAAACATCATGAAAATGTCAGTGTTTTATGCAAAGAGGAACTTGGTGCAAGGTAACTCTTTCTATGCAGAAAAGCAGGCTTCAATGCTCTAGTCTCATATTCATTATTGACTCCTGATGTCCTAAGTGTTGGTTTTGCAGCTCCCTGAACACACACACACACACACACACACACAATGTGTGTGTGATTGGATGAAGTTGTTCTTTGTCAAGAGGGCATTCAAGGGAAGTGAGCATGGTGGAATCATGGAGTCCCAGCGTTTGGGGTGTTATTTAGATCATTCCTTCCAGTTTTCTGCTAATGGGTAGGAATACTGCTCATTCAGTCCAGGTGTTTGAGTATGTGGAAGGACGAGGCAGACCACTGCACCAAGAGTCAGAAAATCCAGGTTCAAGTCTAGTGTCTGTTATTTACTGACAGTTTACCCATGGACAAGTGATTTTACCTTCCTAAGCCTCACCTTTTCGTCTGTTAACTAAAAGCAATGATAGCCATTTTCCGCATTTCATAAGGTTGAATGAATATGAGGTAACATAATATACAGGTCCCATGGAAGAGCTTATAAAGCACCTGTCAGAGATAAGTGGTATAACATCATCATGCTCATCATGTGTCCTTTTTACTATAAGTTTTCAGTATAAGGCAATTTTTATTTCTTATGTTTTCAAAGTACAAAGCTTTATCTTCCTGATTTTCTTTTCTGCTTATGTTCTACTGCATATATCTCTCTGTGCTAATCTTGATGCTTCATGAGGGTGTTTATTTGCCTACTTAGGTTAATTGCTTAATAAAGCCTCCACACACAATTCTGTGGATAAAGAGATATCTTGCCTGGTGTTAACCGTGAAGCAATTATTCCAAGATCAAGAAGAAAGAGTTGACATAAATGTAATTGACGTGACCACTGAATGTTACATGGTTCCTGAAATAGTCTGTTCTCTTATTTAAATATTATTCACACTAATTTAGGGGTCACCGACACTCATTTTCTGCTGTTTGTTGCCTTTGTATAAGGCAGGTCACGCTCTTGCATAAGAAGATATGTGGAGATAGATAAGGGTCTGATGGCTTTGGCAGCTTTATCTTTTCATGGTTTCTTTCCTTTCTTCCCTGCTTTCCCATCTCACTGCCCCTTCCCCCCATCCTCCATGTCCCCCCTCTTGCCTTCTCTCTCTCTCATTCCACCTCCTTTCTTATTCTTCAAGTCACTTATTTTCACTGGCCTTTCCCTGACCTGATACCATCTCATGAGGGCACCTGTATGTATCTGTCTACAGTCTGACCTACCAGGAGTTTTGGAGTCCCGGACAAGTCATTGTGCTTCTCTATGTGAGAAGTCTCACAAAGGCCTTGTGAATTTCAGAGCCCATGCGGCCTTCTGTAATCTGGGTTTTGGTTTTATTTCTCAAAGTAAGAAGTACTTTGGCTTCTCCGCCAAACTACTAGCTGCCTACTTTTGTTTATCTTTTATCTCCCTATATGTAGCCTTTACCATTTAACTGTCAGGAGTTAAATTATCAAGAAACTGGTGTGCTTGCCCCAGGGAACCCTGGCTTTTGCTGTTCTGATGCGCCTGTCTTCATCATTTTTCATGTTTTATATCCATCTTTAGTAACTCACACATTCTGATCTGCATATGTAGCCATTATTGTGCAATAAAATGGGATTGTAGGTTCTCACTGAATGCAGTACTTTTGTTTGAATGTCCACAGTTTGCAAGAGTCACGAACCTGTGTCTGGTACAAAAAAGGATGTACATGTGCCATCAGTCATACTGCAGTTATGTTCTGTTATGATGGATCCCTGAAATAGGATTCTGTTCTAGCCTCTCCTCTTGGTATCTGCCTTGGAACCTCCTTAGCAGATTTTGTGTTAGTTACATCTCTTTATAAAATGAATGTCTCCCCCACTCCCGACCCTGCACCCCCTTATCCCATGCTTTGTTGGGTCTCTGGTTTCCTTGGTTATACTCATCCCACTAAAGTTTTACCAGTTCATTTTTTAAAAAGATTTTATTTATTTATTTGACAGCACAAGCTGGGGGAGCAGCAGGCAGAGGGAGAGGGAGAAGGAGAAGCAGGCTCCCCACCGAGCAGGGAGCCCAATGTGGGACTTGATCCCTGGACCCTGGGATCATGACTTGAGCTGAAGTCAGTTGCTTAACTGACTGAGCCATCCATGTGCCCCTTACCAATTCATTTTTAACCATTGGGCCAGTGTCCTATTGCCGACTTCCATCTCCTTCTGTTGGCCTCTAATTTCCAGATTTCTTCCCTGCCGTCCTTAGTGAATTTTAGTGCTCTCCTCCTTCTTGATGGCTTTTGTGAGTTTGCTGGGCATTAACATTCTCACCTGTATTGACTTTTATCTTTACTTCTGTTATCCGCTAGATATTTTGAAATTCATTACCCATTTTTGTCAACATCTCATATTCGTTGACCACCTCCATATTCACATTTTCATCTTTCCTGTTGAATCTGGTTTTTAGCCTTATTGTGACCTTCAGCCTCTGCACATCTTCCTGTTTTCCCCTTCCATTAGTGCTCCTCACCCTTTTCCCTCTCTCTAGGCTCCTTCCTCTTTGCCCACAATGTTCTCAGTTACCCACTGACCCCTTCCCACCACTACCTTACCATCGCCTCTAACATGACAACCTATATTTTCCTTCCCTTCCAAAGTCCTCCAAAGAGTAGACAAAAAGGGATCCAAGTAAGTGCACATGACCATTATGTTCCTACTGTTCCTTAAATTTTTCAAGAGTATTTTGGAATCATTAACATCTCTGTAGCAGTCAACAATGTTGACCAATACTTTCCTTTGAAAACTTTACTTCTTGGGGTGCCTGGCTGGCTCAGTCAGTGCAGCATGTGACTCTTGGGTTATAGGTTTGAGCCCCACAGTGGGTGTAGAGAATACTTAAAATCTTTAAAAAAAAAAAAAGAAGAAGAAGAAGAAGAAGAAACTTTACTCCTTGGCTGCCATGTGATTGTGGTCCCTTGGT